GAGTTATGTATTCTGACAGCATTAAAACTGTCAAAGTAGAGTACATTTGGAAAATACTTATAAATTAATTTCTTTAATAGGCTCTTTCATAAAAAGTTATGATCATTCCTAACTTATACATGAACAATTATTACAAAAATCCAGATAATCATAAGGTCATTAGAATATATTAAAATTTGTCAAAACTAGGACTTTCAAGCAACGATCAAATTTTCGGTCCAGGAATATGATTTCGTATAGATTTTATATAAAATCAAACAAGGGTTTAATAAATCTGAATATTTTAGAAATCAAGCTCAATATATATACAAATCTTTTCAACATAATGCCATCCCAAATTTTTATTTTAGGACAATTCTAAAATTCTTTGAAGTCAAAGAATAAAGCAATATGAATTTAACAGCAATGAATTTTTAAGAATCTCCGGATAACATGTTCAAAATGGAGTTGCTCAAGGCCCAAAAGCAGTAGGAAAATGGTTCAAGAAGCATTCTAATGCAAAAGAAAGGCTCAGAGAGTTTCACTTCTACCTGCATGACATTGTAAGTGGCCGGAATCTGACAAATATTCCGGTGGCTATGGCCAACGCCACTGCCCAATCACCCACCTTTTTCAGCCTAATCGCCACCATGAATGACTTATTAACAGAAGGACCCGAACCCGATTCAAAGGTTGTGGGTCGAGCTAGTGGTCTCTTCGGGTCGTCTTCACTGCAAGAAGTAGAGCTACACATGACGTTCAATATTGTGTTCACAGAGGGAAAGTATAATGGCAGTATGCTAACTGTAAGTGGGTACAATCTGTTCAATAATCGGTATCGGGAACTGCCCATAGTTGGCGGGTGTGGTGTTTTCCGACTGGCTCACGGTGTCGCCACCCTAGAAAATGTTTGGTATAATAATACCTCCGATGATGCTGTTGTTGAGTACCATGTCATGGTATTGCATTATTGATCCACTCTCCATTAGTTAAAATGTTATTTTCTTTGTTTAATTCTTATTGATTGTATCATGGCCGTTCACTTGATTTGGACCTAATCATATTAAAAATAAATATAAAGGTGACGATTTTGTTTTTACTAATTGGAATAGTCTCATTTATAAATTAATTAACTCTTGTTGACTGAATCGATATAAATATTTAAAAATCCTCTTCGATTAATTTCTATAATAACAAATGAGTTATGCTACACGTACCTA